GCCAGGCGGTGCGCTTGAGTGATCGGTCCGCAAATCGAAAGTCGAAAGAAATATATACAGTATGTCTTTCTTTTCTATATCTTTCTCTCTCTCTCCTTTTCTCTATGTTTCCTATTTCTCTTTCTCTTTCTTTTCTATATCTTTCTCTTTCTCTTTCTCTTTCTCTTTCTCTCTCTCTCTCTCTCCCTCTCTCTTTCACTCACTCACTCACTCACTCGCTCGCTCACTCACTCTTTCTTTCTCTTTCTCTGGCTCTTTCTCTGTGCCTCTCTCTCTGTGCCTCTCTCTCTCCCTCTCTCTCTCTCTCTCTCTTTACCAGCTACAGTGCTCAAGCAATTTTGTGGTACTTAGTACTAAGTTTGAAAACGTCGTTCCAGGTGTTGTGAAAGCTCAAAAGCACCAGGTGCACTTGAGTCACTTGAGAGTGAAAGGAATCTCAATCTACCTGGGGCATCTATCTCACGTCCACATTAGGTGTAATTACACGTGCGTCCTCCACGCGTATATGCATTGGCAAGCCTGCACCCAACGGCACCAAGCTCTGGTTGATCCGGTGACGAGCAGCCAATCCTTCGACGAAGCCCTGAAGGTATGGCTTCTCAACACAAAGAACTCCACGATGCGGCAGCGATCGCCCACAAACTTGGCTCGAAGGTTGAAGAATCAAATGCAAATGGCAGCACAACTCATTGTCACAGCCACAGGGATCACCGGACCTGCATGGGGCAACCACCACCACCACCACCACCACCAAACCATCAAGCCAACCACCATGTCATCATGACTAATCATGACCACATCACAACCACATCATCACACCAACACGGCTGCACCTGGAGAAGGCTGACGGCGCAAATGATGTGAAAGTGCAACGGTGATGGCCTATGCATCATGTTATATATATACATGTTCGGCGATGTGATTCCAAAAAAGTTTGCTAATTTGAGCTGAGCAAAGCTCCAAATCTCCACTGGTACCTCTTAACAAACAGCACCTCACAAGGTGCTTCGTGCTATCTCCCTGCCAGCCAATGAGCGCCTACCCAGTTCTGCGGCAAAGATCGGCCTTGCACCAAACAGTGCGACTCCAGTCCACATCCCAGAACATGACATTGCAGCCTTAGGCTCCTGCCGCTGATCAGGATGGATCTCTCTGTATCGTCGCAAGCGGGGTATGCAAGACCAAAGGCTGGAATGAGCTAAGAAGCTGCAAGAAGAAATCCTCGCTTCTCCAACATACACCGCCATCGAAAAAGACTGGAACCTGGAGGACTGCGAAGCTTCGAGGTAAATTATGCCAGACTCTGAATCTTTCTCAGCGGCAGCTGTGCGGACATCGCTCTTTGATGCCACCTCATGTCATAGTACCACGGCACCTGCCAATCGGCAATGGCCATTTGTACATGCCGAGATCGAACAAAGGGCTCGCTCGGCAAGCTAAGTGAAAATAAAACAAACTTGAGAGTCATCACATTTGCGGCATGTGTCATCCAGCCGGGACGAAGTAAATCCGTACTTGTAGAATTGCCTCAAAAAGTCCAGGTGGCAGAGGCAGATCTGAGCGCAGCATGGAACCTTGCATGCACAAACCCATGAAGGAAGCCAAAGTGAGGTTTGCCTCCAGTTTGTTAACACAAAGTTGTGAGCTTGCATCAGGGCGTAGGGTGTCAGTTGCACTTTCGTTTGTGTTTGAGAACGCGTGTTGAATTCACTGCCCAATCCTCTGCCAAGCTACAAGGCGTTTTCATCCTTAGGTTCTCGCGCACAACTCTTTTGCCGAGTGCTGCTGCTGCTGTCTAAATCTAGGACTTGAAACGAGTGCTCTGAACAAGTGAGCACTGGTGACACCGGCTGTATGCTGCAGAGATCAGTCTACAGTCTACATCCCATGCCGCAGGTTCAAGGGGGCACCCAGGACCAGGATGCGGTTGCCAAATAGTTACGAGAAAAAAAAAAAACGCGCAACGCGCGACCAGGAGGTAGCCCAAACGAACATGTACAAACACGTCGAAAGCACTCGGACAAATATGATTTACATTTACGTTACATCATGCCAAACATGAAGGACACTGGACACCAATCTTTCAAGCCCAGATGGGACCCCAATCAAGGAGGAGGATGTGCATACAAAACGCTTGGCCAGAGCATGGGTGCAAAGGCTGGATCCATGTCAGGGCAAGCGAGCTTGGCGACAACAGACAACAGAGGAGGGCTCAGACAGAAAATGTGTAAGACACGTCGCTGCGAGCTTGAAAAATGGAACCAAGGAACTTGAGCGGAAGCAACCCAAAAACATCCAAACACTATGTAGAACGATCCCAGGGCATCGCCTATCAGAAACACACAACGCATTTCAATCTACGGTAATTTGTTGGAGTCTGAGGTAAGATTTAGAGACTGAGGAATAAGAAGAAAACAAGCGTAAGGCAACACCACGCTGAGCTGAAAAGGAAATCAGGCAAGTGCAAGAAGGCAAAACAAGGGGGAAGCACAGAAGCAAGCCGGCGCATCGTTCTGCCTCAAGCCGGAGCATGTTCCAGAGCAAGCAAAGAAAGGACAACACCACTAGGAGCATTCAGTATTACAACGAGGCATCAACCACGAAAAGGAAGCTACATGCTCAAACCGAGACCAGAATAAAATACAACTTCCTAGAGCAAGCACACTGAGTCACTAAGCACACTGACACACCCTCAAGTGTATACAAACGAGGTACAGTGAGCAAGTCAAGCGAGCACCAGGCCAGCAGGGAACCAGGCTGCACTAATCATGAATTGGGAGCTCCGAGATAAATTGCCTGCATTCTAAATAGAAAGGGCACACTGAGGAGCCTAATTTTTTCTTGATTTTTTGCAATTTCGTCTAAACCTACCTTGCTTGATGGTGAGCCACCACCGTGTGCGTAGCGTAGATCGATCACTAGAAGTTGTACCACATTCTTTACTCCCTTCACGCCAGGTAGCAATATGTCGCAACGGTCTGGAACTCCGCTTTCTTTGGCGCAAGCATCCTGTGCAAACTGGCCAGTGCAGCTGGTGGTTGCCAATAAATTTGTCTAGCAGCTTTGTAACTTCTTAGGTTCGGTCCGGATTCACGCATTCCGAACTGGGTAGTTGTTGCAGGAAGTTGCCCAAGAAAAAAATCGAGATCCAGGTGGAAGTCTATTGCGCGATAAACTAGAGACAAACGCTTACCTGCATCCTTGATCATTCTTGGCCATCATTGTTCCAAGCTCATGAAAATTGTTTAAATCCAACATTACATTCTGCCAGCATCAAGTGAACTTTCTGGAAATTGCAGGTTTTGCTGCTGTTCATAAACGTACATTAGACTTACAGTAATGCAAGATTAAACATGTCTGCTTTCGCCCTCTACTGTTCCACTATACTGAATGTCGCACAACCAGGCTATCTCACCCACATGCAATGTTGCAAAGGCCGCCAAGCTCATTGGAAAGCAGAATCAGCCAGCGGGCTGAAGTTGAATCATTGATGTGTGTATATATATATATACCAATGCCGTGATCACAAGTGACTCGGTGAAGAGGCAAATCCAGCCAAAAGAAAGAGGCAGTCTTTGATTTCGCTGTCTTCAGAAATGGTTATCCAAGGACTCGTTCGCTCTCATTGATTTAGAAAAGGCTCGGATGTAATTTAGGAATTTTCTTGTTTTTGTTTGGGATTGTTTTTTGCTTTTCGTGTTTTGTGGCAGGCCCAGTACTTTGTGGACTTTCAAGTGCAGATTTCGTGGCAGGTGCAGGGCTTTGTGGATGTTGAAAGTGCAGTTTTCGCGGCAGGTGCAGGACTTTGTGGATGTTGAAGTGCAGATTTCGTGGCAGGTGCAGGACTTTGTGGGCCTTGGAGTGGAGATTTCGTGGCAGGCACAGTACTTTGTGGACCTTGAAGTGCAGATTTCGTAGATAGATAGATAGATAGATAGGTAGGTAGATAGATAGATAGATAGACAGACAGACAGACAGACAGATATATAGATAGAAACATAGGAAGGAAGGAAAGAAAGAAAGAAACAAAGAATGAATGAAAGACAGACAGACAGACAGACAGAAAGACCGACAAAAGAAAGAAAGAAAGAGATAGATATCGATGGATAGACAGACAGACAGACAGACAGACAGATAGATAGATAGATCGATAGACAGACAGACAGACACAGACAGATAGATAGATAGATATAGACAAATAGATATAGACAGATAGATGGATAGGTAGACAGATTTGGGAGCTGTCGTAGCTGGCAAAATACATTGAAATAGTGCAGGTGCAGTTAGCAGAGAAAGAGCAAAGAGAAACAGCACTAGCGCAGGAGGCATTTTTGCTTGGTTAGAAATTTTTGCGCCGGGGAGTTCACCTTAAATTATTGATTTCGTGGCAGGCGCGGGTGTCGGAGACGAAGTGCAGATTTCGTGGCGTGGGGGGGGTAGCGCCCCCCACAGCAGCACACCAGATCCAAAGGTGAGCAGCTCGCGCTTGCTTGCTTGCTTGCTCCCTTGTTTGGTTTCTTCTCTGCAAAGCAAACAAATGGAAAAGTAAAAGCAAAAATAGAAAGGAAAACAGCTGCCAAAGAGAAAGAAAGACAGAAAGAAAGAAATAGAGATAGATAGATGGATAGACAGACAGATAGAAAGAAAGATAGATATAGACAGATAGGTATAGACAGATAGATGGATAGGTGGACAGATTTAGGAGCTGTCGTAGCTGGCAAACAGCCAGGCATATTTACACTATATCAGTGAATGAAGACACGAAAAGCCAACAGAAGCCAGCCGAAACCACGAAAAGGCAAAAAAGCCACCGAAGGCCAAAGTCATCAAAAGCCACCAAGAGCGAAAAGCCAACAAAAGCCAAAAGCCACCAAAGGAATCGTCTGGATGAAAACAAGACCGTCTTACATCTGGTAGCTGTGCCTCGGACTTCACATTCCTCCAAAGATGGACTAGTAGCAAACAGCCAGAAGCCACGAAAGCAACGAAAGCCACCAATGCCAAAAGCCACAAAAGGCACGAAAGCCAAGAAAGCCAAGAGCCACAGAAGCCACGAAAGCCAAAAGCCACAGCCAAAAGCCACGAGAAACAAAAAAAATCCTTTAAAAAACAAAAAACTTAATTAAATGGCCCTCCATTTAGAAACCCAGCTGCTGTCAGAACATGTCTGCTCAACTCAAATTGGCTGAGGTTCAAACTGTTCCCACTAGTTGAGGCATTGGAACCTTCTTACCAAGTCTCCTTCTCACTCTTCTTCTTCCGCGTTTGCCACGCTTGGAGGGCCCTGTCTAGGCGCTCAGCGTCAGCCTCACCGCAAACTAAGTGCCCTAAGAAACCTGCGAAACTTGCCTGATGGCTGGCCCGCTTGTCAGCAGGCCTCTTGCAATGTGTCCAAGTGTTCTTTCTGGCCTCACAGGACGCACCCTGCCTCTTTCTACAGGTTGCAGGGATGCCGGCAAAACAAACCAGGGCAGCGTAGTAAGGCAAATGCAGTGCCAAGAAAACAGCCACGGACAGAAGTAAATGTATACAGCATCTACTTGCAAGCAGAAACTAGGAAAACACAACAAACTTGTTTTATACATATAAATGAGAGCAACAGCCGCAAGAACAAAAACTTGCAAATATCTTCGGGCCAATCTCTCTGGCAACGTGCCCTGAGTTTGTGGCACCCAGCGTCAGCACAGAGTTGACCACATCGAGGGTCATGCTGAAAGCATAGGTCTTTGACCTCCAACGCTGGGCCTCTTTGTTTGTTTTGTCACTGTAATGTCACTGTAAAAAGATTCATAAGCCCGCATGTGTCTCAGTTTTATGCACAAAATCTTGTCATCACACCATCACACGTCCTGGTAAACCAGTGCGAAGTAGAATGTTTTCTGGATCTTATGCTTGTATGATACGCACTTACAACGCAGGTGTGTAGTCGCGCTCGGCCATGCAAGTTCTGCGCCTGCGCAGCGCCTCTCGAGCGGCACGGCCCGCGCAGCACCATACGGCTTCATGGAGGCTAAAGCAGGTAGTGGCATCGACGTCGCAAAGCGTTCATATTTTACGGTAAAGCCGCGTTACAGTTTGCCAGGTGCAAGCACGGCTGGGTGGATTGGAAACCAAGTTAAGCGGCTAAGCGTTGGCTGCGATCCCGGAAGTTGCACGGAAAGGTGTTCGCAAAATAAGGCACTCCAAAAATCACTACTGTTTGAGGGATGCATTGGTCTTTCCAGGGTTGTTGCCCGTTGTTTTTCAGCACTGTTCAACGCTAACTTTCTGGTGTGCGTTTATGTAGCGGTGGCGTGCGTGCGTGCGTATATAAACATATATCAACATAAATATAGTTTACATATATGGTGGTTGATCAATATTCTTTCATCCTGGAATGGCCATTCATCGCGGAAAAAAAGATATCTTTCGCGGATCTTTCGCGGCCTCATCGCGAAGCATGGTCCTACAACCATGTCTAGCTAACATGAGCCGGAACATGTCATAGTATCACAAAATAGGGACATCTTGCAGCATGACCCCAGTAGATGGTTGAATGTTTCCACAGCTACTCAGTACTCAGGGTCACTTGCAGCATCTGTGCGGCAATTGTGCCAAATAGAGTCAGGCACAACTCAACCCAATCCTCGTGCCAGCTACCAACACAGGGTGATGCAACTTGGGGAATGTTGGGGGGCCTCAAGCTGGGAACCTAGACTTTAGCGGCACATTCGCGAAACTTTCGCGGATCTTTCGCAAAATTTCACGGGCGCTTTCCCCGGTAACATTTGCAAACATCTGCGCTGCCCGTCAGAGAAGCTGCAGGTCGTTGCCTCACTATCAGGGCTGTGCCTACCCAGATTACTAGTCTGTGACAGTGGGGACAGGAATCGGAGAATCCTTTACGGACTGCCAGGGCTGGGCACGGAAATGTTGAGGCTTCAGTTCGTTAGTCTGTGACACATGGCGACACTTCCGCCCACTGGCTCTGCCGGAGGATTGCCTTGCGTTTCTATTCTTTGTCAGTCCGGTAGAAAGGAAAACAATGAAAGCGATGACCTTCGATAAATCTTTCGCAGAAAAAAAGATACTTTCGCGAACCTCATCGCGAATCTTTCGCGGATGGTTCTAACAAGATCTGAAAGGCTGTTTTATATAAAACTCCTTACACGGGGTTTTCGATCAACTCCAATATATATATATATGTATACATAGCTAGTACCCCTCCCCGCCGGAAACCTTGTCGCAGACACGAGCTGTGAAGACTCTTGGTCAAGTACTTGATTAGGAGCTGTTGCTGTTCCCACACGCTTGTAGAACGTGTCCTAATTCGGAATATGATTGGATTCCGAACTCAACATTTCGCGCCGCTTGAAGCAAGGTGACACAGTGAGGTCTACCTTCACATTCCCTGGCGCGGGGGGTGAGCATTTGTATGCCCAGCCGCCCAGCCACTCCCCCCAGAACCACCCCTCTATATTCACTATACACGTAACCTTTTCGAACGTGTCTGCTTTGGCGCCTCTTGGAAGTCTGGAAGAACCTCAAAACCCGTGGTGGTCAGAGGGGGCAGCGGACGAGGCGACGCTATGGGCTATTATATACTATACGCGACCGACTTCACTTCCACTGTCTTTTTGGAGGATGGAGCAGGAGTGTGGGATCTACATCAAGTCTTGGAGGGCAACAGACGAATACGCTGACGAGATCGATCATGGAGGGGAAGCGTATGAAAGGAACAAAAGAGGCTTACCTGGTTGAAGCCATAGGGGCGCTCGAGTTCCTGAGGAGAGTTGGCCTACATGGTCATGGAGAGCGAATGAACCTGTGGGCATGCTGGCTGGCGTTGCTCTCCTATCCATGGAGGAAAGAAGGGCAACCATTGCTTTCTCAGCTACAAGGCGGACTTCAAGGGGCGGGCAACGTCGTGAAAGTAGCGAAAGAAGATGCGCAACCAGTTCAACATCGTGTGAGAGAGAAGTAAAGAAACAGCTCACCATTGAGGACGTCAGCGGCTACCAAAAACAGCAACATGTTGGTGGAGGGCGGGGTTCCAATCGCCTACGCTCCTAGAAATCTTGGCCGTGTTTGCGCTGGTGAACAGCAACAGCAAAAAGTCGTGGTTCTGGTTCTGTTTTTAGAGGAGAACCGCAACAAAGCCATCCTAACCACATGAATCTACGTCAAATGGAACCAATGGAACTGATCGACCTCATGAGGCTAGTGCCTAGTGAATCTGCTACACGGGTAAGGTATGGGAAAGCTTTGTGGGTTCATCCAAATGTGCAACTTCTTCCGCACATTGGCTTCAGATGCGTTTTTACACTCTGGTATAATCTGGTTGCCATGAAGCTTGGAGGTGCTGTGAGTAGTGTTAGATCTCCTGGCACCATGGATGGTGGAGGGTGCGGGTGGTCCTGGATTGGTGGCGGACCTGGTCAAAAAGGATGATGTTAATTTGGGGGTCTGCTGGAAGGTTAATGACCATGGCTTTTGGTGAGATCAGCGGCTCAAGGCTGTGTGAAAAAGGGTCCTCAGACCTCCTAGGCACTTTGCCATCGTGGTTGGCCAAGCATTTGGGTTCAGCTACCAGATCTGTCATCTCTGCGGGTCGTGATTCAAAGCCTTGGCAAAATCTGTTGGATGAGGGGTTGGCTAGCTACGCTACTTGGCTGAACTCTGCGCAGGCGAATGGTCGACTGTCTTTTTGGGGTGGCCCTGCCGAACCCTCCTCCCGATTCCTCCTCTTCATGCGCGATATGGACCTGAACGCGTCGGCTTTGACCTGGAGAACCTGTCCGATGAGAATCTTGAACTTGCTTGCGGCGACTGTGCTCCACGGCTGAAACAGCTTTGGGCGCACACTTTGGCTCACGATGCGCAAGGGTCCAGGGTCCTCTTCTCGAAGGAACAGCCTCGTCGACCCTGAGGAGAATAAAAGCTGACGATGAGAACACCTGGCCTAGCTACCTTGCATGGCCCGAAAACAGGTCCTTCCGCCTTGAGTGCGCGGTCCACGAAGTGCGACCGAACTTGCTTGCTTCGGGGCACGCTTGCTTAAAGCCATCTGGAAGACAAACGCACCAGGTGTTCTTTGACACTTGGAAGATAGTCTCCAGGGCCGCCTCCACACGTTGTCCCTGCACAATTCAAAAAGACCTTCCTGGCTCCAAGCATGCTCAATGGCATTGCCTGACACTGTTGAGCTTTACACTTTACACGACTCAGCATCAAACCTCCTCCGCCTAAGTTCTCACTGCAAAAGCGCTGATGAACTCGTCATGGATGCTTGAGCTGCCCTCCAAGGCTCCAACCTCCATCAGTCCACCAACCCAGCCATGCTTGTCAGCTGCTGGCCATTCACTGTCCTCTAGTTCATCTTCATCAGCACCGCCATCCAGGTCGATGTTACAGGGATGCGGCCTCATTGGCAGCGTGTTTCCTCGAACTGAGTAGGTGTGCCTCACAGCAAGGGTTGATGCCTCTCCTCAGGCTTGGCTTCTTCAGTCTCCTCTTGCGTGTTCATCCTCCTCAAGCTCTGCAGGTCAAGTGTCCTTTGGTTTGGAGAGTAGATGCGCCTCCTTTGGTTCTGGCGGCCTCTGCTTGCTATCCTGCACCACATTTGCCACATGTCCAATCCAATCTCCCTAAGACTCATCATCTTCACTCTCATCCTCGTCCAAAACCTGTCGCTCGTTGTTTTGGGGGCTCGCCTGGTGTAGCGGCATTGAGACGGCAGCTGTAGTTTCACTGTAGTTGAGGTCTGCTGGCCTCCTGCCCTGCCCTTTGGGCCATCCACAGCACCTGGGATGCATTTGCCTTTTCCACCAGCACGGTCTTTCTCCCGTGCTCGGCATGTGCCCCACTTGCCGCAACATCTGTAATTGCCTTCAAATTTCTTCTTGTTGTCGAACTTGCACTTTGCTCCTTTCTTGTCTTTGTCCTTGCCTGAATCTTTGCTCTTCCACTTTCCTTTGCCTTTGTCTTTGCCTTTCCATTGTCCACGTTGCCAACGTCCATGGGCTGAGGGCCAGCATTGCGGCTCTTGCTCAGCAGGCCTTGTGAGTCGAAGATCTGACCACTCTGCAGGCAGTCCTTGATGATTGATTTGTCCCAATGGTCAAACTTGAAGTTCTCAATGCGGCCTGACCTTCTTGCCAAAGTTCCCTTGCATCATCCAAAGCCTCCATGAAGTCGGCCTCCTTGACGTTGGTACTGATCACCCCCATCAGCATGTGTGTGTGCGTGTGCCTTCCTCCGATCTTTGGCTCATAGGCATCATGGAGAAGGCGCCAGGCATCGAAGCCATTCCCCGCTCTGCGTTCATGATGATGCTCAACCCTCTTCCTTCCACACTCTGCACCAAGACGTTGCACAAGGTCGGCATGGATCTTGCCATTGTCATTCTTGTTCAGGTACAGGTCGGTTGGGCTAATTGCCATCTCGGCAGCCTCAACAATCTGCTCCAGCCTCTGCTCAGCAGGTTGAAGTATCAGGTGGCCACGAACTTCCAGGTCACCCAGTCATCCTCCTTGCCTGAGAAGGTTTTCAATCTCCCATAAGCCTTCCATGGCGTCGAATATCGCGCCGCGCTTCGGCTGTCTCTGTCACACTGTCTGACCACCCGGGACCGCCACAGCCCTGCACTGGTCTGTGGGCTTACCTCTCCCCGTTTGCCCCGGGTTTTCCCCAGGGCTCCGCTACCATGTAGCGGAGCGGCGTACCACAGACGGACCCCCTGTTTTCACTTAAGATGCGAAGGCTGCGTGATGTATCACATTGTTTTATGTGAACTGCTGCCAAGTTTTGTTTTTGAAACGGCCAAATACAAGTTGATAGGTAACAGCCAAACAACTCATTAAAGTTGTCCTTCACTTCACTTCTCATACCGACTCATAATACCCCTTTGAGGCAAGAACCCAAAATATATACAGTAAATTGCACTAAGTACACCTGGTTTATTCCGTTCCCAAGTCCTTTTCATGGAGAAAAGTTTTTGCATGCGATTAACAACATTCTCTTTCGCATTAAGTAATCTATTTATTCCTCTAAGAAAAGCCTTGTTTTGATGAATCTGTTTGC